GGCAAAAGGGGGTCCAACCCATTACTAGCATGGTGTACCTAATAAAGTGGCCGGTGAGTGTATATATTGTATATATTCTGGTGGACTGAGCCAATTTTGCGGATCTATTTTGCTTCCACTAAAATATTTATGATGTGTTTTAGAACATGTGGAGCTAAACAAAAGAACTAGTGGTTTAGAATTTGCGGACCTAACTTTTAAATTAGTGCCGTCCACCACTGAATAATATTGTGTAGAATGAAAATAAAGCTTTTTCAGATGTGGAAAATCAAAGCAGTGAGTTTTCTCAGGGATTGGTTTGTCACCCTGGGTAGCTGGGTTGGTATTTAGCTCCCCCTCCTGGGCAGTATCAGGGTTACCCCTGGTCCATTTCTGAGGCCCATCTCATAACATAATTTTAAAACAATTAGACACTTCTGGATGTTTGGGGTTGTGGTTTTTTTTATTTTATGGTTTGTTTTGTTTATTTGGTTTATGATTTTATAGTGTTTTGTCCTTCTGTGCAGCTCCCTGGTGAAGTTTAGGTGAYTGTCAGCTGAGTCTCCAGGAGACTCCTCCAACGACAGTCACAATTTTGTTTATTTGTTCCTTTCTGAGTTTGTGGTAAGCTGGGGAGGGGGTATTCTGCTACCTCGAGCCTGGTACGCCACGAAGACATATTTGAGGGAGAATTCACCCATCTGGGTTTTGTTGTTGAGGTCCGGGGAGCTGAGAGTTGCTGTCTAACTAACGTCTAAATAATCACGGAAGGACTAGATGTAGGCTTACTTTAGGGTTTAGCTTAGGCGTAACAAGAGGAAGGGGGTGCTATTTCTTTAGTTGCATTTATTTAGACTTTAGATTTAGCTTTTGTTTGTTATTTTTGTTAAACTTTGTTTTTTTTTGTTTTCTCTTTTCATTGCACAAGCCAGCTCATGCCAGTAATCCATACATTTTGAGTTCATGCCTTATGGGCTCTGTGGTTTTTGACTAAAGTGATTTTGAATTGTTTGGGGCGGAATAAAGTTTACCTGAATGGGGTGGGAACTGCATTTTGCACATTTTAATGACATTTCCACATTTAATCATGAAGGTTGTTGTCTTTCATTTATGATTTGCTTTTGAACTTGTCCAATCGCTTTGCTAGAAGTTAATGCTTCAGCATTTCTTCAACTCGCCTTGTCCTAATTTGCATTACTTAAAGTTCATTTATTGACAACTAGTTGTTATTAAGTTAACACTTTATCCAAGATAAGATTCTGATGGCACATAAGTGGTACGTGTCATCTAATTCACTGGGAGGCAGAACTTGTGTTGTGATACCTTGTTGAATTTTGGACTTTTAAGTTTTTAAAATTTCGACGTGTTTTTCTTCATCAATTCTTCTGATGTGTGATGATGTTTCATTTGTCATTTATGGCTTTTCCTGTTGTATCGTACATTGCTTGAATGTACACTCACCGGCCACTTTATTAGGTACACCTGTCCAACTGCTCGTTAACACTTAATTTCTAATCAGCCAATCACATGGC